ACACCCGGGCTCTCCCACCCAGCACAGCCCTGTAAGCGCAGACACACGCTCCACAGAGCACATACATACAACCGGGCACACCTGTTCACCCGGGGGCAAACGCATACCCCGATGTGTGTTTGTACACTCACGTAGGCTGCACCTCAACTAGGCACACGTATTGCCCCTTCCTGGGAAACGGTCACGCATCGCTGCACACACACATGCACTCAGACTTGTGTCCCACACTCAGGCAAGGCGTGCAGGAGATGCGTGTCCATACATGTCTGAGACGTTGCAGATAATAGATTCAAATACAGATACACAGAGGCTCTGCACGCAGTAGGCCCTTAGAATTTGTGGACTATATTTCCACTCCGCAGCAGAAACACGAGCTCACTGCATATGCAAATGGATATTTATGCATCCTGACGCAAAGAATACTCATCTACTCTTCATTCAGAAAACATTAGCTGAGCACTCACTGGGTCCTTCCTCTAGTGTTGTGAGCTCGGAAGGGTACAGAGAAAGTTAACACATTGCCCTTGCTCTGAGTAGAGGAACTTTGAATGCTTCTTAAATGTTTCAAAACTTTGTTTTCTCTCCTTGGAAAGGGGCTCAGTCATTCTTACTAATGTGCTTTGTCTGCATTATCTGTGGTTTTCATGAAAACCCTGCAAAGTTAATGCCATTTTCCTCATTTTATAGATGAGGAAACTGAGTCTCAGGATGAATAATGTGCCCAAGCCACCCACCTCTCAAGTGGCAGAGCCCTGATTTTAGCGTAGGATTTTAAAAATTATTATTATTCCAAAGCTCTTGGCTCTTCAGACAACCTTTTTGCCTCACAAAGTGGGGATTTAGGCAAGGGCAACTGGAGTCTTATTAATCAGTGCCTGGAATGGGTGTATTACTAATATTTTATCTCTAGCCCATATCGATACTTCTACACTGGGCACATGTATAAATGTAACATCATAGCATCTCATAGCTTAGCATTTGCCATGTGTAATTTGTGTATTTATGTATTCTCCTCAAACAAGGAGAATATAGTGTCTTTGTCATCACTTTTTTTTTTTTACTCATGAAATGCATTGAAAAGATGAATGAGAAGACTCCAAAGGAAAGATTGGCTTTTTAAAAACAAGGAATAAAGCAGTACAGAGAGTTGATATGGGTTTGAATAAAGCAGTACAGAGAGTTGATATGGGTTTGAATAAAGCAGTACAGAGAGTTGATATGGGTTTGAATAAAGCAGTACAGAGAGTTGATATGGGTTTGAATAAAGCAGTACAGAGAGTTGATATGGGTTTGAATAAAGCAGTACAGAGAGTTGATATGGGTTTGAATAAAGCAGTACAGAGAGTTGATATGGGTTTGAATAAAGCAGTACAGAGAGTTGATATGGGTTTCTTCCCAATTTCTTTCCTCTTACATTCACGTACAAGAAGGTTTTAAAAAGTGCATCATATGTAAAAGGTGTATGTAATGCCTGCCTCCCCTTCTCCCCCTCGATACTTAGTAAAAATGTTGAACTTGTGCACATGGACTTTGCAGTCAGAAGCAGGTGCTTAGATATGGTGATGTGACAGGATAGAGGCAGAACTGTGGATGGGTTGATGGAGATTCTTGGATTTAATATTGAACTTTCTCTTTTCTTAAAATGCAATGTTTGGGTATTTTAATGTGTCTTCTTCTGCATTTCTTTTGTGGGATTCTGTGTAGTAGATTGGTACTCCACAAGTGTTTTGAGGTGTCATACTGTATTTTCATAATGTCAGGTTTCTTACTGAGATGCAACATTATGCCACATACACAAAACCGAGAGAGCACAGATGAACAAATTTTGAGTTAGTGTATCCCTGCTCTCCCTTAGAAATCCCACTTTTAGCATCCTATCTTTTTTGGCCCCCAAAGATTGTATGGTTGTTTCTCAAACTGGAAATGCTGCTTGTAGCTTTAAACCAAGAGTGATTCAAAGTGGGTTTTTTCTCTTCATTTTATGATTCCACTGCTCCATTAATCTTATTTCTTAAGGCACTACAGTGATTTATAGGCTAATAAATCAGAAAATACCTAAGATGAACCTCTGATAATGGCAATGCTTTTTATCGAACCTGGGACCCCTCAATTCGCAGGCCGATGCTCTACCCACTGAGCCAAATCGGCCAGGGCTCTTTGTTTTAATGCGTGGCAGCCCTCACTCATGTATGTTTCACGTCTTACAATCCCTTTTACTCACCTGTCTGGGCATTAATCTTTTTTTTTTTAATGTAGTGACCTACAGGATATAATTTTTAAATGTCTCTTGAGAAAACCTAGCCATAAAACCATGCACCTGATGCCATTACTTTCTACAAATAATGTCATTTTACAGAGATTCTTCACATTTTACAGAGATTCTTCACTAGAAGTCTGCTTAGGAAAATTATTCAGATTTTCTGGAGATTTAGGTAGGCTTTTATTTGTTTAGGAATATGACTTTCCCCCATAATCAAGCATCTAATTGGGTCTTAAACAGGAAGTATTGCTTGTTAGAAATAATTTTATTTCCTGGTGAAAGACAAGAAGTCTTTCTTAAAAACCTCTAAATCTAATGACTAACATTTTTTATGGTGCATTACAAAATACTTCCTTTCCATGACGTCATTTGATCCCTGCAGCAATCTCGTAAAGGGAGGCAATTCTGTTTTCCTCATTTTAGGTATAAGGAACCAAGATTCTGAAGTGGTGGCTGGTCACACATCTGGTAAATTGAGATTAGCGTTAGGCCAGGTCTTTGGACACAAAAAATCATAGATGTTTCTTTATTCCACATGAGCTTTTTATAAGCTTGACTTTTGATATTTTCTGGCCAATAAATAAAGGAGTAGGTAACCAAGAAGACAGAGAATATTAAGTTGAAAGGGGGTTGATTAAGACCCTTCATTCCATATCAGCTTCGTGGTGAAATGACTTTCCCAGGTCATTTGCTAATTAGTGGCTGAGCTGGAAGTACAACCTTGAAAATGACATCAAAGACATGAGATATATGTGTCTTTTGAAACCACATATCTTTTATGAAAAGCCTGAATACGTGTCATGAAAACTTGGGCTTCTTTGAACATAACTTGAATGAGAGCATTCTTTTGAGCTCTCTGAGAAGTCTCAGACCTAGTCCTTTTTTCTTCTTGTCTAGCATTTTGTAAATGCTCAGAAATGCTGTTGCTTGTAATAAAGTGTTAATTTCTGGTCCATAATTCCAAAGCAATATTTATATAAAATGCTGTTTTCAGGGTTATTGGTTTCTCAACAACAGAGGTACTCAAAAATGTTCAGATTTGAATATTAGATTGTCAAAGAGGATCTGAGCTTTGACAGAGCATTGATTTAGGTTTTACCTCTTGTTCAATTTCATATATTTGTTTGAGGCTGCGCACAGTTCAAAGAGGAAAATTACCCAAATTGTACTATGTTTTGACTTTTTATCTTAAAAGTATATTTTTTATAAGATTTCAGTGCACAGCGTAATAATATGGTCATAGTTCAAGCCTGAAATTCACCACTTTATATTCATTTGCTGTCTTCATGTTTGCAGATTTATTCCATAGATGAAGATGAAAAAGTTACACCCAGCTTGGAAATTATCTTACCTCGTGATTTGGCAGATGGATTTGTGAATAATAAGCGAGAAAGCTACAGATTTAAGTAAGTGTATCTTTCTCCTTCTTTATATTTGTTTTGCTATTGAACAAACACATACTGCACTCATATCCATGGTGAAATTCTTAGCAGCATGCGCTGGGGAGAAGGCAGGGCAGTTCTTTGTCATCTGGCAGATGGAATTTTTTTTATATATATGTTTTATTGACTTTTTTACAGAGAGGAAGGGAGAGGGATAGAGAGTTAGAAACATCGATGAGAGAGAAACGTCCATCAGCTGCCTCCTGCACACCTCCCACTGGGGATGTGCCCGAAACCAAGGTACATGCCCTTGACCGGAATCGAACCTGGGACCCTTGAGTCTGCAGGCCGACGCTCTATCCACTGAGCCAAACCGGTTAGGGCTGGCGGATGGAATTTAAGTTGTCTTTTTACTGCTGTGCCCAAAGCTGAAAGGAGGGTATGTTTCTGTATCCACCATGGTATCCCAAGGTCCCAGCCTTGCTTTGCCACATCAGTGTTATCCTTTTCCTACCTGGCTCTCTAGGGGTTAGATGTGCCCGCAAGGTACATGCCCTTGACCGGAATCGAACCTGGGACCCTTGAGTCTGCAGGCCGACGCTCTATCCACTGAGCCAAACCGGTTAGGGCTGGCGGATGGAATTTAAGTTGTCTTTTTACTGCTGTGCCCAAAGCTGAAAGGAGGGTATGTTTCTGTATCCACCATGGTATCCCAAGGTCCCAGCCTTGCTTTGCCACATCAGTGTTATCCTTTTCCTACCTGGCTCTCTAGGGGTTAGTTAGCACTTACAGGAAGTTCATTGCATGACTAAACGTTATTAAAGATAAGCACTTAAGGTCCGATCTGTATCCCGTATAGGTGAGCCTTCTTTATAACATAGATGATATACAGACCTCAGCGCATGCATGAACAGTCTATATCTGTACTGTCCAGTGTAGCAGCCGCTTGCCGCAGGTAGCTCTGAAGCACTTGAAGTGTAGCTAGTCCAAACTGAGGCTAGTAAGTGAAAAGTACATAAAAGATTTTTGAAAGCTTAGTATGAAAAAATGTAATGTAAAATATCTCAAGAATATTTTCATATTGATTCCATATTAAAATGATAACATGTTTAATATATTGTGTTAAGATCTATTAAAACCAATTTCACCTGTTTCTTTTTACTTAAAAAAAAACATGGCCCCTAGGACATTTTAAATAACATTGGTGCTCACATAATGGACTGCATTACATTGCTCTTGGACAGTGCTGAACTGTGAGGTTCAGGTGAAAAGTACCAAGCAGCCACCCTTGAACTGTCACCCTTTAGTGCAAACACTCTCCAGTAGCCAGGCCTGCAATGTTGGGATTATGGCTAGTTTATACCGTCTTTATTCTCCAGTTTCAGATTATGCGATGTCCTTTATCGCCCACTTTTGATTTTTGGAGAAGTTTGAGCCCAAGTTAAACCCATATTTGATCTGTGGCTTGTGCTTAGGTGGCGGATTGCTGGGTGCGGCTGAAGACATCCTAATTGCTCTCTTGCTTTTCTTCCTGAACTGTTTTACATGGTCCTTATTATGTAGCTATTCCAGCCCTTGCCCCTTGGATAAAACCATCCTGGATATTTTATTTTCATGGTTCTCTCTCACTCTTCCTCATATTTATTTACTCTTATTTGTTTGTCTCATAAAGTTCTCTGGTCTTCACAACTCTGCCCTTTGTCGGTCATGCATGTATCTCTCTCCTACTTCACCCATTGTCTTGTGTTCCTTTCACAATAAGTACAAGCAGGATTGCTAGCAATTGCTCACATAGTGGGGGGGTCCTCACCTTGCCTTTTTGGCTCCCCATCACCTTTCATTCTGTCCTTTAAGAAGTAGCCTTATAGTAAGTGACTTCATTTTTCTGAAGGGGGCATTCTCCCACTGGTGTAAACTTGCTACATACCTTAGTAGCTATGAATGCATGATAGCTGCCCTACACCATTCTCTACAAGCCACACTTTGCTAAAGCATTTTATTCAGCATGCTTCTGTTTCAGCATGTTGCCGATGATTAAGAAAAATTGGCCATGTCGCTATGAATTGGCCCTTTCCAAAGTATTCTTTAGGTTATATAGATACAGAGAGAATTTAAATATATGGTTATTGAAAAAGTGCTGTTTGCCCTGGAGAATATTATGCTAAGCGAAATAAACCAGAGAAAGACAAGTATCACATGATCTCACTCATATGTGGAATCTAATGAACAAAATAAACTGATGAACAAAATAGATCCAGAGACATAGAACCATGAACAGACTGATGAACAGACTAAAGGTGGGGTGAGGGATGTGAGGATTAACCAGGGAACTTATATGCATATGTGCATAACCCATGGACACAGACAATAGTGTGGCAAAGGCTTGGGAGGGCGGGTGTGGGGAAGAGGGGGTCAATGGGGAAAACAAAAAACAAACAAAAAAACAAAGCAGACATCTGTAATACTTTCAATAATAAAGATAAATTTTAAAAATAAATTGTAAAGAAATATATCACAAAGAAAAAGTGCTGATTGCTTATTTTAAAATCACTTAATCATTCTTTCTAAATCTCTGAATTAGAAATATTGGTTTGGTATTTTAAATAAAGATATTAATAAAATATTTAACATATACATATGATCAGAGATACCTATGTAAGCATTTTAAGGCTGTTTTCTCCCAAGAAAAATCCACTTAACCAATAAACATTTATTGATCATTCACTGTGAGCTGTTTTCATGGCTAGGAACACAGCAGGGAGGGCAGCACAGCCCCTGCTCTGATGGTGCTTACATTTTAGTGGGAGGAGATGGGCAAGAAGATCAATAAGTACAATGTGTGTCAGAAAGTGTTAAGGGCCATGGAGCCAAACAAGACAGTGAAGGGGTCAGAGGAGTGCTGGTGAAGGGCAGCAAAGGGGAGGGAAGGTGGCAGCATTTCACAGGCCTCTCAGGGGAGGTGGACAAGAGGGCGACATTTGAACAAGAACTTGAAGGAGGCAAGGAAGCCAGATATTCAGATATCTGAGGAATGGGAAGTCCAGACCAAGAATATAGTGAGAGCTAAGTCCCTGAGAGGGAGGAATGCCTGGATTATTGAAGAGAAGGCATCTGTGTGGCTTGAGGAGAGTAAGCAAGGGCAGGGGGGTGGGGCGGGGGAGAGGGGGCAGCAGGAAGAAGGTTAAAGGGGCAGCAGAGTGGCCAGATCATATGGAGCTCTTCCCCAAAGTGCCATGGGAGGTAATGGAGGATTTTGATCAGAAGAATGAAACAATCCCACTTAAGTTTGAGCAGGATCATTCTTGCTAACATGTAGCAAATAAACTAACTGTAAGGGAGTAAAGGAGACCAGGCAAGACATTTTGGTAGTTTGGGCCGGGGTAGTAGCAAGTGGAAATGTTGAGAAATAGTTGGATTCTGCAAGTATTTTAAAGGTCAGAGATGACAGAGTTTGCTGATGGGTTGCGTATAGAGTGCAATGGAAATAGAGGAGCCAAGGATGCCCTAAGGGTTTTGGACTGAACTTCTAGAAGGATGGAGTTGTCATTTCCTGGGCTGAGGAAGGCCAGGACGAGCAGTTTCTGGGTGGGGAGAGGTCAGTATGTGCCAGATTTGAAATAGACTTTAGAAAAAGCCTACACAACCTCCTCATGATGAACGGGCCTCCTAGGAATCAGGAAACCCAAGTCATGTCTCAAGGTGCATTATTGGCTTGCTCCAGGGCCATGAGTCAGTGGCTTTATGTCCCCAGGATAAAGCAGCCTCTTCCGCTGTAAAAGATGACACTCAAGTTGGTAAACTGTTTTGCTCTGCAAAGGTTTTCAGAAAATAGATGATCACAATGCCTTTTCAGATTACTGTGCAGCTATAATTATAAAAGATAAAATATTTTGGGATGATGATTTGATGTTTAATGCTATTGTATGGTTTATGGAAACCCCGGCCATCTCTTTGGTTTACCTGGGGGTAGTTGTCATTCCTGTAACTTAAGGAAGTGGGGCTGGGAATGGCTGTTGACTTAGCCAGTCATCGTCAACCTGGTAAAGAACCAAATCAGCCTCAGCCTCATCCTCACAAGCACCACTGGGTCTGTGTTCAGTGTCACAGCCAGCGGGGCCCGAACAGCACAGAGTGGCCGTGCCCCCTGTGTTTGTATCTGGGCCCTGGTGCACGGATAGGGTGTGAGGCGTGTTCTGGGCACCCACGTTAATGTCGTTGTCTAAAACATAATCTTGCCTCTGAATGACGTAGCAGCCAGAGTGCCCTGCAATCTCTCTTTGTATATGGTTTCATTGTTAGTTTCTTCAAATGGGAGGTTGATAAGCTATACGCAGGGGTGGGGAACCTTTTTTCTGCCAAGGGCCATTTGGATATTGTTAGCAATAAAGTCAGTGGTGGTCCATTTTCGAGGCAAGGCATTTAACCCTGAATGGAAAATTCCTGGTAGTTTGCTTGCATAATGGCCTGCTGATGTGACCAAGTTCAGGCACCTGGAGAGTCCCCAGGCAAACAGGATGTTGGGGAGGGACAAACTGACAAGGGGGCTTAAACTGGGAAGGAAAGAATACCCTCTAAAGAAATAATGAAACTTAGGTGACGGTTCCAGGAAGATTGTACACCCCACAGTCCTCAGCCAATGAGGAACCAGGGGAGGGACCTGCACAGCAGGGAATACAATACTGGTTGTAACCACTTTGGGCTTGCCTGCCCAGCAGACACCCGATCTCCCAAGACCGACATTAAACGCCTTGTTTTTGCTGTAGTTTGTGTCTCCATGTCCATTTTCTTTTATTTAATTTTGGACTGGTGAGTGTATTTGTCACAGATATTTATAATATTTGCAGACCATGTAAAATTCTCAACTTACCAATGATTTCATGGGCCTTATATGGCCCGCAAGCTGGACATTCCCCACCCCACCCCTGAGCTATAGGGATGTTTTGAAATTAATTTTGATTAAAGACAATGAATTCCATTTTATTTTATATTCTCAGCCCCACTCCAGATAGCCTTCTGAACTCCCCAGAAGTGAAAACAGTCCTCCATTTCATGTCGTCTCTACATTAATCGAAGATGTGCCCAACTTACTTGTGTTAGGTAGACACATAGGCCGAAGGTTTCCAAGCCACTCTGAAAGCTGCGTAGGATGCCCTCAATGTGTTTGTTTTAAAGGCTTAGCTTTAAAGCATCCCTCTGACCCCCACAGTTTTTATTTTGAAAACTTTTCAATATGCTGAAGAGGTGGAAAAATAATGCAACCAACTCTTCCTATATTCTATGTGGGAGATCCACCAATTGTTAACATTTTACCTTATATACTACCTTCCTTCTCTCTCTCTCTCTCTCTCTCTCTCTCTCTTTCCCCTCCCTCTCTCTCTTGCTTTCTCTCTCTCTGATGTTTTAATGGGGGACAGACTTGCTGGTGGCAACTCACCACACCGTAGAAGAATAGGTTGTGTGTTTCCTGCCCTGGGCATTCCTCGGTGGGTGTGACCCTGCACTAAGCCAAGTGAGCAGCAATGCACGAAGCGTGAACTTGACTCCGTCACACCTCCCCATGCCCAGCCCTGCCAATCTGATATGGACTTCTCTGTGCAGGCCAGTCTATCTTCCTTCACTTTTGGACTTTTGACTCATGATCCACAAAGTGAAGTAAAGTTCCCTGGAAATGAAGTAGCCAATACGAGGATGTAGTACCTAACGAGTGGGAAGTAAACTTCAGTGCAGCATTTTAAGACCAAGTTCAATCATCCTACGTTTCACAGCTGCCTTCTGTCCTGACAGGTCAGACATCAGAGGTTCTCTGGCTGTTTACATCCTGGTCTTGGGTTTCCATTTCATGCCCTTATCTCGATGTGCATCTGATGCCAATTGCAGACACTGTCCCCTCTTGAGAGCTGAAAACACACAGTTTGTTATTTGGTTCAAAGCCGCTGCAGCATTTCAGAGGGATTTATTGTGCAGACCCTGTCAAAGCAATACTGTTTACCCGCCGTGTGTATACAGGGAGACAACAGCGCAGTGTGGCTGGGACTACAGGCCAACATTGTGCTAGGGTAGGTGAGCCCAGTGCCGTAAACATGGGCTCATTTACAGAGCCGTCAGAAAAAAGGAAAAAAGATTAATCTAATAGTGTGTGACGGCCCAGCTTTAAGATAATTACTGTTTTCACATTTGCAGATTTCAAAGGATTTTTGATCAAGATACAAACCAAGAGACCATTTTTGAAAACATTGCCAAGCCCGTGGCTGAGAGGTAGGATTGCCTGTGTTCTGTTTAGTGGGTTAGTGGTTTTTCATCGTGTCTTCAGTTATCAGATAATCGTGGTAACGCGCCTCGATGTATTAGTTACGTACACAGGCTGCAGGGCACGTAATGACGATCGCATTAAAACCCTTTATTTGCAGAGCTGTTTGTTTTAGATTTAGACTCCGAGCCTCAGAACAAGCCGGTGTGATAGACGGAATAGCTCTGTTACTCCCATTTGAAAGCTACATAAATCTCGGAGGATCAGAGAGATTAAGTGGCCCTGTTCTGGTCGATGGCTGGTGGTGCAGAGCCCCAGGCGGTGTTCTGGCAAGGCCGAGCTCTTCCCTCAGCCCCGTGTTCCAGGGGTTAGATGGATGTGGGACTCGGGGTGGGTGACACCTGGGAGGCCTGCTAATGGCTGACCCAGCTCCACCTCAGTGTAATAGCTATATTTCACAGCCTGGTCCTTCACCTCGAGGACCCTTTTATTTCTGTGTGTCCAG